CAGCCTGTGGGCACAGAGGGGAGCCACCCCCCCTCCATCCTCATCCCCCCCACTGCCCCATTGCCACTGGCCTCCACCTGGGGAGAAGCTGCTGCCTCCCCCCAACGCCGATGGGGGGGTAGAAAGGGGAGGGGGGATCCCCGATGGCAAGAAATCTCGACTGAACCAAAGCCGTGAGAGAGGTGGTCCCGGAGAATATACAGGTAATAATACTGCTCACATAGAAAAGTAATAATCCTTCATTTGTACATTTATACAGTGGCTCTCTGCACCCCCCCCCCCCCCCCCCCCCCGCGCCCCCCCCCCTTCCCTCACCGCCCCCCGCACACTATGCCAGGGGGTCGGCCAGCTCGTCGTCCGCGCCACGCGCCAGCAGCTCGCGCTTCTCATCAGTGCTGGCCAGGGAGTTCCTGCTGCTGTGCGCCCCCATGTACAGCGTGGCGTACACCGGGTTGGTGAAGTTGGTGGGCTGTGGGGGGGGGCATAACGTAAGGTCAGGTGGCTCACAGCCCTCAAGGGGGCAATGCCACACTGGGGGGTCTGCCCCCTAGCCCAGCGCCTGCAGTGACAGTGCCGTCCACCCTAAAAGGGCCATTTCTAACACAATTGGGTTGGAAGGGGCCCCAAGGACCACGAAGCTCCAACCCCCTGTGTGGGAGCTGCTGAGTCACAGCCTGAACCCTGATTGATCACCTGAGGCGAGCACTGAGGCAGAGGAGCACAGCTGAAGGCAATGCACCTGAGCTGCCGGAAGGGTGGAGCCTGGCTGCCCCCTCCTAGAGCTGTTTAAGAGCTGGCTGCCAGGGGGGAAGGGTCTCTGCTGGAGATCGCCTTTGCTGGTGCTTTGTGGGTGAGCCCAGGACAGGGGTAAGCCTTCTGTTTATTCTCTTTTGTTATCGTAGTCTGCTTTGCCTAACTCTTGTTTATTTTGTGATTATAACAGCCTAATATTCTTAGATTATACACCCTGCCACACGCAGGGCCACCAACCTCCACGTTTCACAGCAGCCCAGGGTCCCATCCAGCCTCCAACACCTCCAGGAATGGACGGGGCATCACAGCCTCTCTGGGCAGCTGTTCAGCCCCTCACAGCACAGAACTTCCCCTGACATCTAACCTCCATCTGCCCTCCCTCAACTTCACACCATTTCCCTTGTCCTGCTGTCATCTCCCTTTCGAAGAGTTGACCCCCCTCCTGTTTGTAGGCTTCCTTTAGGCACTGCAGGCTGCAATGAGGTCCAGGCTGAATGAACCCAGCTCCCTCAGCTTGTCTTTGCAGGGAGGTGCTGCAGCCCCCCGATCATCTTTGTGGCCTCCTCTGGACCCTCTCCAACAGCGCTCTGTCTTTCTTGTACTGGGGCCTTCAGACCTGTAATGTGCTCCCCTGCGTCCTCCCCACTACGAGCACTGAGCCCACAGCCTCAGCCGCGCCCCCTGCCCCATTCATGCCCACTGTTCTTCCTGCAGCTCAGCACCCAAGTCCTCTCCAGGTGTAGGACCACCCCCCCGGCCCCACCTTGTCTGGGTCCAAGGCGAAGTCAGCATCCAGCAGCTCTCCCACGTCGTCGTCAGGCTCCCCTTCGTACATTTTGTAGGTTGGGTTCCCAATCTCTACATTCATGGCCCCATTTGTCATCCGCTGGTGCTGGAAGCCCTTGGCACTGCATGGGGGCAAAGAGCGGGGTCAGGTGGGGCGGCAGCGTGGGGTGGAGCCCCCCAACAAGTTCCATCTCACTCACCCTTTAATCCTCCACTTGTACCAGGCGAAGGCCACCACGGCGAGCAGGAGCAGCAACAGCAGGATGGGGATGACGATGGAGGCGGTTCCTGCAGTACAAGGGGTGGGTGGGGGTCAGAGGGCACAGTGGGGGAGTGGGGGGGGG